TAGCATGCGGCCAGCCCACATATTGTAGAAATGTGGGCTTGGCAATAAATATAATTTGATACTAATTTTTAGAGAATATATAATCTTTAGCATGAAGATCATAAATATGAAAAAATAAATAAATTTTGAAAACTAGAAATAATAATTATATTAAAAAAACATTTGGACTGTTAGTTATAATTGTTTTAAGATGGACCACCTATTTGCATCCATTTTTAAGATGGATGCTTTTTACCTCTAGATCGCATATTGTAGATATGTGGTCCAGCCAGCATGAAACAATTGTTCTTTTATATTTTATCGTTTTCCTTTTTCTTCCGGGATTTATTTATTTCAAAAAAAAAATGCTACTTTTCTTCGCACATCAAGAATTTACTCTTTGGTTTTTGAAATTTTAGTTAAGGACCCGGTTTCTATGAATCCATATAGAAATGAGCCATCTCTTAGAAATCTATTTTTGAGACAGATTTTGGACTTAATTTTTAAGGATATGTAATCTTGAAAATGGATATTATGAATGAAAAAATAGACAAATTTTGAAAATTAGAAATAATAATTCTATTAAGAAAACATTTGGACTGTTAGTTTTAGTTGTTTTTAGATGGACCACCTATTTGCCTCCATCTCTAAGATGGATGCTTTATATCTTGAGATCGCATATTGTAGAAATGCAGTTGAGCCCCGCATCAAACAATTTTCCTTTAGTTAATGTTAAAGAAAATATCATTTTCAAATATAAACTAAGTTATATGTACATGAATATGTAGAAAATAATTAAGTATATGCCAAGGTCATAAGATCACTAAAAGTAGAAGAATAAATATTTTCATTCGTTTCTTTATCTCTCTAAAATATCATTATAAGAATTGTTTTTTATAGGATTGTATACAACGAGACCATTTGTTTTTTATTCAAGATGGTCATATTTACTACAATTATCTTATGTAAAATGTGATAGCTTGGGTGTGTTACAAAGTTCGAGAAAACGTTTTTTGAAGTTTGAGCTTGATCAATGACATAAATGCACCCATCTAATTTCACATCCAATGGTTGAGATTAATTATGACCACCTTGAACAAAGATAAAAAGGTCCTAAAACCAAGACACGTCATAGAATCAGTGCGGAGCTGAGCTAGCCAGTGCTTCCCATTTTACTCAAACACTAGCAAAATTGTCTGCTCCCGCGGGAGCATATTGCAAGTTCACTTCATTGCCTAAAATCAAGTATCGGACAAAGTTTATATAAAGTTGCAACCTTCAAATGTAGAATTACATTGGAAATGGTTATTTTAATGTTGAAAAACCCTCTAATTGATCATCTCGATATTGAGATATATGAATTTAAAAAAAAAAAAGATTTCGCGTCTCAAAAATAGTGCATCGTGCAACACATTATCTAGACCGTCCATTTTTAAGATTTTCATATGTTTATAAATCTACTTGATTTTAACCATTTTTGGATTTTAAAATTTTATAGTAAGATATAAAAATAGATTTTGAGATAATCCTAACAATTTTGTACACCAAAATTACATGTTATGATAAAATTTGGAGATGCGCCGTAATTGGATTGTTTAAGGTTGCAACCTTACGAAAACCACACCATCAAGTATTTGTAGGATTTCAATTTTTGAGAATGTAACAAAACCTATTAAAGAAAGGGTCAATCAAAGTAAAGCGCACCTTCAAACAGTGTCGAGAAATGTAGTTTCAATACTGAAAATCTTTATGATAGCCTTAAAATATATTTTCATCGTTAATTATAAAATTTAAAGCTTAAAAAATAGTGTAGATTGAGCGGATCCGTGAAACTTGCAAATCTTAAAAATTACCGATCCAAAAATGTGTTCAAGATGCACTATTTCGAAAGCTTGAAATCTATTTTTTTCTCATGTCCATGCATCTTGATGTTGAGATGATCAATTTGAGGATATTTGAGCATCAAAACAACTTTTTCTATTGAAATTTTTGAGGTGGGCTCTAATTTGATTGTTTAGAGTCTGGGCTTCATATAAACTTTTACCTTAAAAACAGGAGACGACTATGAATCCATGTAGAAATGAGTCACCTCTTTAAAATCTATTTTTGAGATGGATTTTTGGGCTTAATTTTTAAAGATATGTAAACTCAAACATGGAGATCATGTATATGAATAAATAAATAAATTTTGAAAATTTAAAATAAGAATTTTATTAAAAAAATATTGTCCTGTTAATTTGAATTGTATTTATATGGACCACCTACTTGCATCTATCTTAAAGAAGAATGCTTTAGACCTCAAGGACCATAAATGTAGAAATCGTACTCGACCCCCCCCCCCCCCCCCCCGCCCCCGGCATGAAACACTTTTCCTCAGAAAAAAAAGAAAAAACAGAAAAGTAAAAATCACAAACGCATTTTCCAATGATTCTAGAGTCGAATCCCAAACCAGAGTAAGTCTGTAGCAGTGCTCCCGCGGGAGCACTCTACATTCTGCAGACTTCATAGTAGAATGAAAAAAAAAAAAAACAGATTTGAAAGTTGGAAAAGGGTAAACGGAGGGAGAGGGGGGTTTGTAATAAAAAGCAGGAGGCACATGCACGGACCCCGACCATCACGTGCACTCGCGCACCATTTAACCATCCCTTTTCATTGCTAATCTTTAATGATCCAAAACTTGTTAAAAAAAAAGAAAGAAATAAAAGTTAAAAGCAGGAAAGATTTGGTTAGTTGAGAGGCTTGGGACTTGAGCGGAAGGGACTAAGTGGACCCACTCTTCATTATATAGCCATTAAGGTCTAAAAGCTTTTACTGTGTTTTATTATGTTGTAACCCACTTTATATCATTTATTCATTGATTTTATCGAACACTTCATTCAGTAATGAAAAGTAAACTTAATATCTACAGCTCCGTCCCTTGCTTTATTGTTGCTTTATTGATTAATCGCCTCCCAAGCCCATCTCATCCCAATTCGGTACGGAGGAATGAATCAGTGGGGTTAACAACTTTCACTACCTCCCCAGGCAAAGCAAAGATTGAGCATCACTTTTTAATCAATCAATCACCTGTCTTGCCTCCCTCTCTTTCTCTTACCTTCCCATTACTTTGCCCTGGATTTTGAGATCAAAGAGATAAGTAGGGTTGGCAATGGGCCGGGTGACCCGGATCAGCCTATAGAAGAAATAGGGCTTGCCAGCCCGAGGGTTGGGCTAGGGCTAGGACTGGTCTGGTTCGGCTTGGTCCTGTTTTTTTTTTTTTTTAGCCCGACCTAGCGTAGGCCCAGCCTATTGCCACCTTTAGAGATAAGAAAGGGAATTTAGGGTTTTGTGTCTTGTAATTTCAAGATTGTCTGCCTTTAAAGGTACATTTTGGAGATGGATTGAGATCAAGAACTTAACAACATGTCTACTATCTTAACCATCCCACAATCATGAATACGAAAAATAAATAAATTACGAACTTGAAAAATGATATGATATATACTCTATTGTTGGTGGATATTTCGATCGCTATTTCTGGACTCCAAATTCATCGAATAAAATGGATCTTCAGTTGCACGTTTAGCTCGGATGAAATTGTTTTCTAAAAATATTTTTTACATAAGTGTGAGAATATTTTCATACCAATCGATCTTCAAGCAAAAAAGAATTTTTTCATATCGATTTATAACTAATTGATGTACAAACATTCCTACGCTCAACCACCAAAAAAAAAAGAAATTCATATAAATCTTTTTAAAAAGACAATTTCACGTGAACCAAATATGTAGGATGCGTTTCAAGGCCTGGGACACTTGAAAGGCTCAACTCGCTGACTCAAAAAACAACAAAAAAATTTTCAGAAAGGAAACAAGTAAAAACCAAGCGTAGCAGCAAACTGGATTGCATTTTAATTCGTGGGGAAGGGAACACATCCAAAGACAAAAGTAAACAGGGATCCACCGCCAATTGATTACGAAACAAATTGTTTTTCAAATTATACATCCCATGAGATGATGTTACCCAATAAATGAGATGCTTGCCCCCCTCTTTAATAAACTTGCATATAAAATACAAGAATAATCCCCTCTTTAATAAACTTGCATATAAAATAAAATACAAGAATAATAATAAAATACAAGAATAAAATAGTGGGAGTTGCGTAACGGAGGGGATCTTCAAATTTGATAGCAAGGTTACTTCTATTATGTATTCGTAGGAATATAGAAATAAATATGTATGCATCACGGGTGGGAATTAATTATTAAAAGAAGAGGGAGAGGGAGAGGGAGAGGGAGAGGGAGTGATGATGGCGTGGCCGCGCGCATGTGTGTGGGCACTGCACTGAACAAAGCAAAAGCAATGGAAAAAAAGAAGAGAGATCAAAATTCGATAGTGGGAAAGGAAGAGAGAGAAAGAGAGTTTGAGGCATCGCCATCTTATTTATCAACACCCATCATTCAGGGCCCAACCCCAGCATGTGAACAGCAGTGATGAAACCCCTCCCTTTTCCCTTTACCCTTTTCTTTTAAAGGGAAATTATGAGCATCAAAACAAGAGATACGAGCATCAAAACAAGAGATATTGACATCAAAACAAGGAGACTTTTAAATTTTTAAAGGACAAGAATAATATATAAATAATAAAAAAATTAAAAAAATAGCTGCCCTCGTACAATAGATACATGGCACAGATGCCGGCTTTTACTTTTGGGGTAATATCCTTTTTTGAAAACTCCAAATTTTTTCACCACCACCCCATTTTACAACTCAATCTCTCTCTACAATACAACTTAAAAAATAAAAAAAATGGAAGTTTTGTTTTGTGTCAGAAGAAACCCGTCCGTTCTTCCTTTGTCTGCCCGTACTTATCCTTTTTATTTATTTATTTTTTAAAGTTTTATTATTTTTTTATGAACTCTTATTAAACAAGAAAAAAGATAACCACGTAGACAGCCTAGCCTACAAAAGTAGTAATCGCTTGATGAAATTTTGAGTTCCTCTCTATATAGAACAAGAAACGAAGAAGTGAAGCCAGTAAGTGTTATTGATGGGTGTGTTTATTATGTTGCAATGCCGCTTGTTATTGCTGGGTGTGTTTATTATGCTGCAGTGCCGCTTCTTGTTGAATGAGATGGATATTGGAGCTTCAGGCGTTTTGTTGATTAGTTTCTGCGACCATTAATACTGTTGAGCCTGCATCGTTTCGCTGATCGAGAAAAATGCTTGGGTCTTATGTGCAGGTAACATGGAGATAGAGAGAGAAACCGCCCAGCACTGTGAACATCATGGCAGCAGGTGCCCCAGACTGTCTGTAAACTCTAGTCTCTAGATAGAGAAAATTAGAGAAGAACAAGAGAGAGAAAGAGGAAAGTATGATTTTGGGTCCAACATGGGACGGTTTTGGCGGGCTTGGAATTGAAAGGGCGGAGTATGAGGAAAACCAACATTTTGAAGAAGCCCCGAGGTGAGGTCTCTACATTTGCAGTGCCCATTTTCCAATCTTTTTATTTAATGCATCTTGATGAGCTTGCGTAAATTGGATCGCTGCTGAAGAGGCGCTGTCTTCCTCTTTTTCCTATTATTTTATTTTTAACTTTACTGTTGTTTTTTGTTTTCTGTTTCTTTTTTTATTGTTAATTTCTTTCTGTTTTTTTTGGGTTTTAGCTGTTCTCCCGGTGTCGAGAGAATGAGGATGAATACAAGAACCAGGACCACTTTGCAGACCATGAAAAAACCTTCAAACAATGAAAAGGTGAGGATCACCACCACCACCACCCTCTTCATAGCATTGAGAGAGAGAAGGGGCGAGTGAGAGAGAGAAGCAATATGATTAATTCTTCCACCAATCAAGAAAATGATCTTCTTTTTTCTTGTTCTTTTTTTATCTGATAACTCTGTTTTTTGTGTTGGGTTTTTTGGGTGAAGGCCAAGGATAGGATGGAGACAGGGGAAAAGGGTACTTCAAAGCGATGCTCCAGCAAGGAGAGAAAGTTAGCACTGCAGCAAGATGTATTTCTCTCTCTTTCTCTCTCTCCTCTCTTCCAACTCAAAATCTTGATTGTTTCGTTTACTGAATTTTGCAGGTTGATAAGCTGAGGAAGAAGCTGAGACACGAGGAGAACGTTCACCGTGCTCTTGAGAGGGCTTTCACCAGACCTCTTGGAGCTCTTCCTCGTCTCCCTCCCTATCTCCCTCCTTATGTGAGTAGTGTGCATATTCATTTATCTCACATATGTGAGTATTCATATTCATTTATCTGGGATCGATCTATCGACCCATCATTTAGTGTAATTCTTCTTATCTGGGAACTTTAAAATAGCAGCAACACCAGTCCTCTGTCTCTGAATCTCTGGATGTGCAGTTTATCTTCTGAAACTGTTACATTCGCCTCAATTACCCAAAAAAACTGTTACATTCGCCTCTCCATTTACTTTTCTCTTCTAAATAATGGGTGCTTAACTATTTGGAAGACGACCCACAAATTCTCTCTCTCTCTCTTTCTCTCTCTCTGAATTTTCAAATTGAATGGTTCTTGTGATTTTGTAGACATTGGAGCTGCTAGCTGAAGTGGCTGTCTTGGAAGAGGAGGTTGTTCGGCTCGAAGAACAGGTTGTGAATTTCAGGCAAGGGCTATATCAGGAAGCTGTGTATATATCCTCATCATCCAAGAAACAGATGGAGAACCCCTCTTTTTCTGAATCTTGTTCATACAAACCAGAGGCCTCCTCCATCTCCAGGCAATCGTCTTTGGATGCATTCTCAGATCGAAATCCAAAGCCAATGAAGCAGCAGTTGAATAAACGAGGTCTATCTGAAACAGGGTCCCCCAATGCCCCAAAAATTACCAGGAAGCACAACACATTTGAAGATGGCCATGGAAAAGAGAATCAGCTTATCGCCAATTCATCGAAGACCAAACGATCACCCCAATTGATTGCATCAAGAACCAGGCCTAGTTCCTGGCACCCAAACAATGAGCAGAGATCGAGCAAGAGGTGCCTTGATTTATCCAATAGTAAGGGGGTGGGTAGTAGTAATCCTTCTTTGTTCTAAAGAATCTAAACCAATTTGATTGGTGTTTTTCTTCCATTTATTGAATTTTCGTTTATGTATTTTACAGCCAGAATGTGATGTTGGTACTGAAGAAGTAGTAGAGAGCATTGCTGGCTTCAATGGAGTTTTGGTAATTGATCAAGAGATCATGGATCCCAATAGGATATCAGAGGAGATTCTGAGATGCCTGCTTAGCATTTTTCTCAAGCTTACAAGGTCGGGCTCGGGAGCACAGTATGACGATATGAGGTTCCCTATTTCAAAGCCCCCCATGGAATGTTCTCAAGTTGAAGCTCGAGACCCCTATGGTATATGTTCTGAAGCTGCAAATAGGGATATTGGGCCTTACAAGCATCTCAATGAGGTCATCACGAGCTCAATTGATATGAGCCGGCTTCCAAACTCCTCGTTCATGATGCGGAGATTGAAGTGGGTTTTTCTCTCATGAATAAATGAATGACTTTACCTCTATAATCATATATTGATTTTTTGTACAATTGAAGTTCCTCTACCTGATCTTTGTGTTACCGCTACAAACAGGGTGCTCCTTGGCAAGCTAGGTTCAGTGGATTTGAGTGTCCTCAACCACCAGCAGAAGCTCGCATTTTGGATTAACATCTACAATTCATGCATGATGCATGTAATTACATTAAACTTGTAGTCCCTTCTCTGCTCTCGTTTATGATCAGCACTTATCGGTTCGGCAAATTAGAGTTTAACTATTTAACTCCTTGCATTGTAGAAACCATAGAATTTTGTTCGTTCTGTCCTGCTTCTTTACTTGTGTCTTTCTTCTCTCATGCTAACTGCTATGCAATGACAATATCTCTACCATAATGTTACCCCTCATCATCCAAGCATTTCCAGTCTGAAAAGAGAAGTGATACACTTATGTTTTGCCTAGTGAAATTGTCTTACTTTTGCTTGTATCTTCTGCTGGGTTTGCATCTCGCATGGTTGGAGAATAAGCCATACCATACCAAGTCATTTATGTCAATGAAGACAACCACAGGATGCTACTGACCAAATGTTACATTGTGCTATTTGTCCTAGAATGTTCGATGTGGTAAACAACGTGTTAATAAGTATGTCATTTGCTTTTTCTTGAATACAGGCATATTTGGAGCATGGTATCCCAGATAGTCCTCAAATGGTTGTTGCCCTGATGCGGAAGGTGACATTTTGTTTATGCTCCCATTATTTTTCCATCAATCGGAGAAGATTCAGTTTTAGATTGTGAGAATCTAAAATCATACCACCAACACATGGTGATTTCACAGGCAACAATGAAAGTGGGCGGTCATTTGCTGAATGCATTAACTATCGAGCATTTCATTTTAAGACTGCCTTACCATTCAAAATTTGTGAGTGCTTTCATGACTATGTTTCTTTGTGCTTATTGCTTTATTGGAAACTTCTAACTATGGGTATTTGAATTTCTTTTAATGGGTCTCTTGGCATTTGTTCTCCAGATCCACCTGAAAGGTGCAAAGGCTGATGACCTCACCATGCGAAATATTTTTGGGCTAGAGTGGGCTGATCCCATGGTTACATTTGCTCTTTCGTGCGGAAGCTGGTCCTCTCCAGCTGTAAGCCAGTCTTCTTCCTCGAGCTTGCTTTCTTTTAGGATGATAGAGAAACATCCCTCTCGATTGCAATTATTTGGACTACAACAAAAGCCTGAGGATTACATCTTATATAGAAAACTCGGTTTCATATTCTAAACCTTACCAAATCACTCCCTGAACACTAGGGCTGTTAACTGAATGGGTTCAGGCCAGGACGGCCCTGGCCTAAGCCTGTTCTAGGCCCATCCGGATTTCATGATAACTAGGCTCGAACTCAGACTGGGATCGAAAAATTCAGGTTGGCCTTGGCCTGGGCCAGGCCAGGCCTGGCCTTGTAAAAATATGTCAAAGAATTATCTATTATATTTGTAATATGTGTACTTGAAAATTTTCTGGCCAGGCTCAGGCTTAACACGTGGCCCAAACCTGGCTCGAATATGGGCTTGGCCCAAAGCAGAGTGCCGGTCCGGGCCTGTTAACAGCCCTACTGAACACCATCTGAATTTGGACTCCATCTGAATTAACTGAAAATCTGCATTTGGACTCCCCCTTTTAGAATCTCGAGGAGTGTAACTTCTAACATTTGATTTCATTGAATCCAAATTGACCCACAATCTTAGAAAAACCCAAAAATAAAACATCAAAAGATTATTCTAAACCCCTAATTGTATATGTCTTAAACTGCCCAGAGGGTGCCATGAGAAATTCCTGTCTTTCGTTTCCCACAATGTCTACACCTTAATACATGTTTATCCAAAAGCTTGACAATTTTTGTGCTTTTAGTCATTAGTTTATAACATCCAGATATAGCTCATTCCAGCACTCATGTTTTGATAGGTTCGAGTATACGCGGCAGCGAACGTAGAGGAGGAGTTAGAAGCAGCAAAGAGGGACTATTTACAGGCGGCTGTCGGCATATGTTGGGAGAACAAGTTGGTGATACCCAAGCTGTTGGATTGGTATCAGTTAGACTTTGCAAAAGATGCTGATTCTTTGTTAGATTGGATCTGCCTGCAATTGCCGACTTCGGTAAGAAAAGAGGCTTTAAAGTGCCTTGAGAAAGGGAGGAAAGACTCTCTTTCTAAGCCCCTTCTGATAATGCCTTATGACTTCAGTTTTCGCTACCTCTTCTCCCCATGAATCACTACTACCTTGCTTCACCTCTCCCTCTCTCTCTCGTTGAGTACGCCAGCTCTGGCTCAGGATAAGGCATCTTTGTATGTACAAGGCAATAACAAACAGTAAATATACATAAAATATAAATAGCTTTATTCTTAATATGAGGAATTGAAATTTTTTTGGAGGGATTATCTCTTAAGGGAAATCTTCACATTTGTTTTGATTTATCTTTGGTTGTACGTGGTAGAAATATTGCAGCCACCAAATGAAGAAAGAAGAAGAAAGTGGGTCATTTTTCAAGTTTTAATATATGTTGTGGAAGAGCATTTCCTACTTTTTGCGCTGGTAGAGAAATTACAGGGGTAACTAGATTCACCGATTGGGCGTAATGACTCTAGGCAAAACACATTTTTTTATCTAAAGCACACATTTAGATAGTGCTAAAATATGTTGTTTCAGTATCATAAATCTTTATGATGGTCTGAAAATTTAAAATTTAAACACTAAAAAATAGTGTAGATTGCTGTAGATATATGAACACTTGAAAATCTTGAAAATTAACGATCTAGATAATACATTACAAGATGTACTATTTTTAAAACTTGAAATCTATTTTTTCACATATGCATAAATTTGAGGTCGAGATGATTGAATTAAGAGCTTTTCAGCATAGAAAAAACCTTTTATTGGATATGGTGATATCTAAAATTATCCACTTTACAAAATCTCATATTATGTGGGATTGAAATTGATATTGATAAATTTCTTAAATAAAATAGAAATCCAAAAAGATTAGGACTCTTGGATGTATTGCTTGGTTCTTGAGATATATGTGACATCTATAGAGAGTTTCCTATTTGATATGGATTCCTAACCTTATATATATATATATGGGATGAAAGCGGAGAGAATTTGTGTGTTTTTTTTGGTTCACCATTATGGGAAAGGTGGTTTCCTCTAGAGAGAGAGGCAGGGGCCTCTTGTGCATGAGGCAAGGCCTCCCCTTCAGAGAGAAGAAAGCTTCCCTGGGAGAGAAACGCTTCGATGTGCTTCTCATGAAGATTTTGGGTGGTTTCCCCACAGAGAGAAATAGAAACGCTTCGATGTGCCTCCTATATGTACCTCCTATATGGGTGGTTTTTATACTCCGATGTACCTCCCATGAAGATTTTGGGTGGTTTCTATACCTCGATGTACCTCCCATGAAGATTTTGGGTGTTTTCCCTTTTAGAGAGAGAGATAGAGTCTCGGTTGCTCTCAAGGTTCTCTTTCTAGACAATGGTGTAGCTGTGGAACAGAGATGAGTCTATTCTTGGACATTGGTCTGTGGAATAGAGATGAGAGATCGATGAGTGGTGCCGATCAAGAGACTAGATCTAAAAGGGTTTGTTTGATTGCGTTTTGTCAAGAATTAGAGAGGTAACTTTCTGTCCCAAAATCTATAATGTAACTTTCATTAGTATAGTGGATTTCAATTTTCCGTGCTTGTGGATGTAGCCCTCTTGAGGTGAACCACGTAAATTTTTCTGTTCTTGTGGTATGTGTGTTTCAAGTTTTATTTCTCGTATTATAGCCCTTGCTCTCTACTATTTTATTTATAGCCGGATAAGTACACGATCTTGGTATAATCCAACTTTAGGATTCTTGTTTACGCATCTAAAAGGGTTCTTAAATCTTAACACCTCTTTCAATGAATTTTCGAGGTGGGACTTAATTTGATTGTTTAGGGCTGCACTCGTATGTAAACTTTTCGTGATTATCTATGTCTCTACGCATTTAGGGGCTTATATGCAAAAGTGGGGATAAAAATGGGCAAGTGTCTAAATAAACTTTGGAAAATGTTTATATGAGGTTGTAACTTTACAATGTAGAATTACAGATGCATCTCAAAAATCCATCGGTATAGGTTGTTTTCATGTTGAAAGAACTTCTAATTGATCATATCGACATCGAGATGTATGAATATATATATAAATAAATTTGAGTCTTAGAAATAGTACATCTTGCATTATATTATCTAGACCATCAATTTTCAAGATTTTCATATGTTTATAGATCTACTTGATTTTAATCATTTTTGAAGTTTAAAATTTTATAGGTAGATATGAAAATGGACTTTGAGATAATCCTAAGATTTTTTTTACCAAAATTACATGTTATGATATAATTTGGAGGTGCGCCGTAATTGGATTGTTAAAGATTGCAGCCTTATAGAACCACACCCAAAAAAATTTTCCCAGTGTGTTAGAAAAATGGAAACAAACTCGCGAGTGCCCCTTCCAAACGGGTCTATCTGTTAGCTCACAAGCATGCGAGATATTAAATTGCTAAGGGACTCTCTCTCCCTTTCTCACACACATTGGCATGTGAGACATTAAAATTGTAAGGGTCTCTCTCTCCCTCTTTCTCTCTCACACATTGGCATGAAAGAAACCCGTATTTGTTGAGTTTAAGGGTGGCATAGCCAATATTAGGTTCTGGTGGGCCAAAAATAAATGAAGAAAAATAAAATAAAAAATAAAAAAAAAACAAAAAAGAAAGAGGGCCAGACCAGGCCGAAGTGCCCAGCCCTCAAGCCATAGTTCGTGGCCCAAGCCCTACTTTTTTAGGGCCGGGCTGGGCGCCCCATTGTCAGTCCTAGTTGGGTGGTGCTTTCATGGTGGAGCCTTTGTTGGCCCCAAAATGTGCTCACGAGATTTGCTTTGAATGCTTACATTAGTGGGAGTGGGGAGGAACGGGGGCAAAAGTGTACATTTAATTTGTTGGAAAATAGTGATAAAGAAAGCTATGTTCTTCCTCGTGTTTGTTTTTGAGATAGATGAAAATAGATCATCCCAGTTCAAATGCATAAGAATACTAAGATCTACCGAGCACCATAACTTTCTTTCTCTTAGAGAGAAAAAGGAGAAGATTATTAAAAGTTTCGTATTTAGAATGAGAAATTTGAGATGTTTTAGTAAAAGAGCTCGGGCTTTATTTGGTTAGCGCTTGACAACTTATAACGCTACATGGGCTGAATTCCTATCTAGAGCCTTTTTGACTCACCTAAAAAAACAAGAAAAAGAAAATTGAGATGTTTATGTACAAAGCCAAAGTCAAATTTCTCATTCTAGATACAATATTTTTTTATTTTATCGCGTCTCTCGACACTTAGATGTCATATTGTATATTGTAATTATGCTTAGGGGAGGCAATGACCCGGCTGGGGCCTGGGCAAAAAGAAGTGGCTCAAGGGTAGGGCTAGGGCCAGGCCATCACAACATGAGGGTAGGGCCAGCCTGAGCCAAGACTATGTTAGCACCGGCCTGGTTTGGCCCTGCTCAACATTTTTTCCCTTTTTTATTTTTTATTTAGTTTAATTTTGTTTGTCATGGCCTTGCCCTCATGCGGGCAGGGGCTATTTAGCCCAATCAAGGCCAAGCTGAGCCCTATGAGGACTAGGGCCAGGATAGGCTCAAGGTCCAGCATAGGCTTGGCCCATTTCCGGTCCTTTGTAATAGTTTGTGGTAACTATTTATTAATTTGGTTGTCAACAATCATACTAATTCATTGAACTTTCGATTTGTAAAATTGCAAAAGCCGTTCTGGTATCTATGACGAAAAGTAACAGCTGGTGAGAATAGTTCCACCTGCGGTCAAAACAAGCTTATAGGCAGCTCAAGTACCCCTTTCTCTCCCCTTTCTCCGTGAACACAAGAGTAGAGAGTGTTTTTACATATAATCAGCTTTTATTTTATTTTATTTATTTATTTATTTATTTTAACTTTTCAATGTGAAACTAAAAACCACTTATTCTTTGATCCAACCAAAACTTTAATTTTAAAAGAGATGTTATTTTGAAGGATTTTTTGTACGCACCAAATTACTAAAATTCCCTGCTCAAGTAAAACCCCATGTCTCATGAACTGAGCCATATTCACACGATCATCCCACCAAATTTTCAATATAAGCCGTTCCTTTATCGGCATTGCCGAAATGCTTTCGTATGTATAAAAAGTAAAATAATACTTACATTTGGCATTTCGTAGGTACTCGATTTTGAGGGTCTTCTTTTTGTTTTTTGGTATTTATGCTTGGAGATAGAGTACTCCTTCAGATGACACTACATTCTTGTGAAAGAAATTGGGGTCCCTTCTCTTTATTGTCTCGCTTATTTTGGTGTCATTTATTTGTAGCATCATGGAAGAGAAGAAATGTCTGGGAATGAAGTTATTCAACATTATTATAGAATGTTTTAATGAGATGAGGGAGCAAGTAGGCAACAATAAATGTAGGAGTACGTGGCCTTGTGTGCATACTGAATTTGTGAGTACGAGGGGATGATAATGAGGTATTGGTGGTTACGGTGGGTGGATGTCTCAACATAACGTCCCACCTTCCATTTTCACTGTCAATATATAAAAAATAAACTAAAATAAAATAAATCTTGTAAGTACGATAAGGTCTTGCATAAGGTTGTAAGATGTACACCATAATTATTCTTATTGTTGTTGTTCTGCTTTGCCTTGCCTTGATGATTTGCCTTTAATTTTGAGAACCCTGTAATTATTATTATTGTTGTTCTGTTTTGCCTTGCCTTGATGATTTGCCTTTAATTTTGAGAACCCCGGACTGAAGCTAACTTTTGCTTTAATTTGGAAAGTTTGACATCTTTTGACAGCTTCTTGTTAAAACAATAAAGACCCATCCAAAACTAGGAATCGGGTTTGGGTTTGAGTGGTTAGCAGTTAATGTTTAGCAATGCTATATTTTAAATTCGATTTGTATCATTAAAACTGAATTACCAAAAAAAGAAAAAACGAACAAGAACCATCCGAAAAAGTAAAAATGTAATACCATACACAGATATCCATTTTTGCGGAAAGCCAAGGGGACATCCTCCCTTCTTTCATGTGATAAAAGATGGTGGAGAATCACTAGGACTATTCAACATGCATGAATTATTGACACACAATAATTATCGACCTTTCTCATTCTCAGTCCCTTGGAAAGAGCAATTTCCCAAACCATTTAAAATGTTGTTTTGGGATGTTTCTCTTTTATAAGGTGGTGGCACCAAATTTTTTGTCCCGAAGCCTAAAATCTATCTTGCCTCTCGATAACACTTTCGTATGGAAATAGTAAGCTCTCTCTACTAGAAATAATGCTTATACGCATCTCTCTTGGATACCTAAGGCTAGTCCAGCCCTACTTTCTTGCAATTGGTACCTATCCCACACTCTCCTTGTACTGATCATTTATTTAAATGAATGATACTTGTTGCATTTTCAGTTGTAACTTATAAATCACATTTAAGGGGATGACACA